TTAAGGAGGAAACGATTATCAAATTAATGGGTTTCTTCAAAATTCATTTTCAAATAAATCTAGTCCCTGGATGTTGGATTAAACTTTGCAATCATTAATTTATTTAAAACTTTTTTCGTTTTAATTATTTAAATTACATTGTTCAAATTCAGGGCATCACAACCACTGATGAACCTGCAGTAACGCCTGCAACGATCCGTAATTTCTAGGTCCTAGCCACATTCTGGTGGTGGCAAACCTCATGTTGCTGTCCTCACATATTTTGGATGACGGGCTTTAGTGCCTGGGACGTGATTTTCCTAAGTGCATTTTATGTTTTTGGCTTTAAGCGGAATGACTTGAAAATTGAGCGTTGTTGTTTCGTGCGGAAGGTTAGCGGACTATTTCCATCGTTATGTTTTTTATGAGTTTAGTCGCAAAATAATTTAGAAAAAATGTTTAAATGAAGTTTTAATGAATTCATTAGTCGATTCATGGTTCGAATCCAGTTAAATGATATATTATGCAGTTATGCTGCATGGCGAAACTGAAGGGATCATTATATTGAAAAAATCACCAAATGATAGCTCTCGGTAAAGAAGTTTTTGAAATTGGTCTAAATGTATTCGTTTGTGCAAAACATTTTGTTGCAAAACTGTTTTGCACAGCGCAAATTACGCAGTTATTTTTTGCTTATCGTTGATATCATCCGTGGCAGCTGTGAGATTGCTCGTATTAATGTGAGCTTTCATTGCTGTGCGAATTTCTTGACGACAGAACGGAAAAAATCTCGTCCAATTTCCGTATGATTCGTATCATTTGCCATTGTTAGCGTTTGTAGCAAAATTGAAAGATTGATGTTATGGATGTTTTCAGTTCTTCGTTAATGATGGCTGTATACTCACCTTAAATTCTAAGCTTTGTTTTCCACCGCGCAGCTTTCGTTGAAAATTTAGCTCACGCTCTTCCTGCCAGTCGTCACACGTGGGCAATCTTTTTTTGATTTATCGATTATATGCACAACGTCTTTATGCATGCCCATTGCAACATCATTCAGCTCTCTACTGTCCGAAACAGCGGCGATCGTGTTTACTTGGGCACGTGCTAAGGCGTCCACCAGACAATGTCTGTGGCATAACGCCAAACGCCACTCAGATCTCGAGACGGCACCGTTAAGGAGGCAAATAAGATAAGACCTGATGAGACACTGTCAGAGTTGATGTTCAAGTCTTTCACTCTGAAACGACACTGTGCCGGTATAGACAGTGGCTGACATGAGTGATCTACAGTGTGGGAAGTACTCATCCGAATTTTGTTCGAGCCATCTGAGCTAAAAATGGCGAGAGCCGCGAAAACAACAGTCGATTTTGAGTATCAGACGACAGTGTTTTCCGTTTGAAATTTTGCTTCGTGTGGTAATTTGCAATTTGTATACCTACTCTAATCCAGGTAGTCTTTATTGTCAAAATTACATTCTGTATTACAATATAATTTTGATCAGTGTTATCAGTATTATTCGAGCCTCTATCCGTTGTAAACCTGTTCTGGAGAAAGCACTTTTTTTTATGGCATTTAAAATATTCTGCGGTACTTCCTTTAGTATTTAATAAAGGAAATTTGCGTGCAGATTTTTGATTTTATTAGATGATTCATGTGTGAAAAACTAATCTCATTATTTACACAAAGATAACAGTTTTGGGCAGTGCCACGATGTCCGCTGAAGTTACCAGCTTTTATCAACTAAAAACACACTGTAGTATGAAGTAGCAAAATAAATTAGGCTACAATCTTAGTTGTTAAAGATAATTTATTTATTGCATGTAAATGGCTCCTGTATTAATAGATCGTTTTATGCAGTCAGTAGTAGTCTTATGATTATGGCAATGAGATTATTTGTGTTTTAGTGGACAGTCAAAATGGCATCGGCAGTGCGGTATCGTCTGCTTACTTCCTCATGGTTACGAAGGAATGGGACCTGAACATAGTTCCGGCCGTCTCGAGCGCTACCTTCAGCTCTGCAACGACGATGAAGAAAAGATGACGGTATCGTAGCACTGCTGTTGCCAGGTGTAACTTTGTTTCATGACTTTTGAACGAAAATTTTTGCAGCCAGTGGGACCCACGTTTGAAGCACAACAGCTTTACGACACGAACATGATCGTCGCCAACTGCACGAAACCAGCTAGTCTATTCCACATCCTACGAAGACAAATCAAGATGCCGTTCCGAAAACCGGTAGGTAGTCATTGAATGTATGTTACTCATGCTTACAGAGTTTTCATTCAGTCGTGTAACTCCTGG